TGGGGAGGCTCTGTCCTGTGCAAGGTACCCCCCCCCCGAGGTATGACCTCATCGCCGGCGCATTCCCGGCTCGCGGAGCAGCGCGGAGCAGCGCGGAGCTCGGCCGCTGCGCGGCATGCGGGCCCTGCGGAGAGGCGCGGCCGTCCGCGCCCGCCGCACCGGGTCAGTGTGAGCCGAGCCGGAACGGGCCGGGAGGGGATTGCCTTGCAGGGAGAGGGGCGCGGTGCGGCCGCGTGTGCGGAATGGAGCCGCGGAAGGGCTTGGGGAGGCTCTGTCCTGTTGGAAATACCCGCACCTTGCTTTATTATCCGTAGGGCTTTGGGGTTTAAAGTGCGGGTGGGATCGTTTCGAAGCAAGCGTTAATAAAAAAACACTTGCGGGAGGGTGGGTGGGCGCAGGTGGGAGCGGAGCATCCCCGGCCGCGGTGCGGGGCGGTACCTCGGGGTTGCGCGGTGCGGGGCCAAGGGGGGTACGGGAGCTGTGGTGACAGCGCTGTGGTTTTCCGATGCCGTCGTTGCGCACCCGGCTGCGAGAGGAGCCGCGTTGGGCTGCGCGGTCCGTACGGCGCTGCGCTGCCGCGAGCTCCGGAAGCGCTGCGGGCCGTGAGCGCGTTGTGCGCCCCGCTCAGTTTGTCCCCTCCGTCCCCCCCTGTACGCGCCGACCTGCCGTCGTCTCCCCCGTTCTCGGACGAGCCTCTGCGTGCGGAACGCCGGTCGGTTTTCCCGAGCGCGGCGATGATTTCCCTTATTGATAAATAAGTTCCTTCTCCTTCCTGTTCTGCCCCCCCACCCCGCACACGCACACCCCTTTCTCCTCCCCCAAAATTAAATTCCTGAGCAACAGCAAAAGCTGATGTCAGTGCCTCGGCTCACATCGGGAAGCTCCGCGCAGGTCGGTGAGGTGCGGCTTGTTACGGGGAGGACGCGCCGCGGTGCGGGTTCCTTGCGGACGTTTGGGTTTTCTAGGCACCGTATTGCGGTGCCACCCGTGGTTCCTAGGCGGGGAGCCCAGCCCTGCCCCGGGCACGAGTGACCCGCCGTGATTTGGAGCATAAAGGCATGGACTCCTTCTAGCAGCCACTGGCAACCTCAGGGAGATGCTGAGCGCTTTGCCCGCAGCCCGGGGCCGAGGTAACCTTGTGAGCAGCTCCAGGAGCCCTGCGCGATGCTCACCGCATTGTCTGCACCCGAGCTGTGCTGCGCAGGGCTCGGGCACGGTTGCAGCTTTGTGTTGGAAGGTCCGGGTGTGCGGTGCTCGTGGGTTTGGGCTCGGCGGCGCTGCGCAGGGCTCTGCAGAAGAGGTTGGTTGGGTTCGGGGCCGGTTCCCTGATTGCCTTTGTGTTTGCTTGTGATGATTCCCAAAGCAAATGAGCTCTGTGCCAAGAAAACTCTCATACCTATAACTGGCTGCATTTAGGGCTTCTTGCTAAGATACCTCCAAGGTCTCTGCAGATGTATTCTTGCCAGTTCTGATGCGTGCAGCCGTGCTTTGCCCCAACAGGCTTTGAACCCCCATGGGTTGTTGCCCTTTCCTTAATGCAGATAAGGGGCTGGGGGGACCTGGTACTAGCATTGCAAGGTGGCCGAGCCCTGTAGGAGTGCTGACTGCATGGAGATATGGTAGATACCATGTTTGTGTGCTGGGTGGTTTTGCTGGGGCTGGGCACCTTGCCAAGGAAGCCACTGAGGTGCTGTGTTTGGAGAGGTTGCTGCCTAAAATTCAAGACAGTACAATTATTATTGTCAGAACCCCCCCAGAGCACTGGGTACAGCTCCTCAGAGCATGCATCCTGCAGTGGTTTGGCCCTGCAAACACCTCCCAAAGAACCATCCTGAAGGAGGCTGCGGCTCAGTGGGGTTCTGAAAATGGCTTCTTGCAGCACCTACTTTATCCCTACCCCTTTCCCTGCTCTGGCTGCATTAATCTACATAATCAAAATGAGATGTGTTAAAGGTGCCTTCCCCTTCTGTGTGGCTCTGCTGCCCTTAGGTGTGCCTGCTCATGGGATCAGAGGTTGGTCCTTGCTATGCAGTGTGATTAGAGCTGTGATCTGCAGCCTTGGCTGCACTCAGGTGCAGAGCGCATTCACGGTATCTGGGATGGGAGCAGGAAAAGGAGGTGTTCCATATTTGGCAGCCTTGATTTATAATCTGAGTTTGTAGGACACTGCCGTCATCCTGAAACAACCCAGCAAAGCAAATCTGCTGGGGAGCATGGTGGTAAAGAAAGCAGCATGCAGGTGCTGGCTCCTGGGAGGACAGCAGGAAAGCTGAGCTGGGACATGTAGGTGGTTCTGCCCTCCGCTCTGGGTTCTGTGGCAGAGTTTAGGAGAACTGTCTGTAGAACCCTCAGAGCGGAGGGGTTCCTGCTCTCACCCCACTCTTCTCCACACTGCTCTGCAGAGGTGCTCTGCAGCCCTGCGATGCCGTCATCCCACGGGGAACACTTGCGAGTGCTCCTCTGCATCTCGATGCCCTCTGGGTTTTAAAACCTGTTTTTCAAGCTTTCAATTTCTCCTCTGCAGGTACACCTGTCCTGCCTAGTGCAGGGTGGGAAAGGAGGCACCTGATGAGATTACATACAGGCGTGGGGAAGGGAGGCGAGTGGCCTGGGATCACTCATCAGATAAGGAGCTAAATGAGTGCTTGCAATTTTCTCAAGCTTGCTTGCAGAAACCTGCGCATGCGTTGCAAGCAAGGTTAGAGCACAGCGAGGGAGTGCAAAGGCTGCAAAAATGGTGTCACAGGCTGTCCTTAAAGTCGGGCAGAGCTCATGGTGTGATGGTAGCATGTGTGCTGTGCCTGGCTGTGAGCTGCTGGCTTTGCCTTCCCTTCTGATGGCGGTGGGGCGGAATGTAGCATGCGGCTGTGTCACGTCCCTTGGGAATGATGCTCAGTGCCCTGCTGAGGGAGATGTAGCACTTAGGGATGTGGCTCAGTGGGCATGGTGGTGATGGCTCAGTGGCTGGATTTGATGATCTCAGATTTTTTTTTTTTTTAATAACCTTAATGATTTTATGGTTCTATGAATTGAGCTCTGGTCACACGTGAGCACCTCGGTGACTCCATCTCCTCTTTATCAATGAAGTCATGGAAAAGCAAACGAGCTCTTATCTCTTCCAAGAACCGATCGTAGGCTTCCTACCCCAACCCTTGGGTCAGTGCCATCAGTGAGGCTCCTTTTGTTCTCAAACCTTTCTGTTTTGAGCAGAAAGAGGAGAAGCCCCTATTGTAGGATAAAGCAGAGCTGTACTGGGGCCCTGCTCCATAGGTGTGCTATTTGATTCATCCTCTGTGAGCCTTCTAGACCCTACTAGACCAGGGAGCCTGGACAGGTGTGCAGCAGGTGGTCCTTTGCTTTGCGTACAGCTTCTGTGTGTTATAGTGCTGCTCAGGACGTCCAGTTTTCAAAAGTGAAGTGTGGTGTCTGATGCTCCTGAAGATAGGTGCAATTGGGATTGGAGGAGATTCCAGTCTGCACTGTACAAAGGTGAAATAAGCAATGCGCTTTGATCTGGGGTTAGAGAACTTTCCTTGATTCCATCTTTTCTTCCCATTCTTCTTACGCCTATTTCCTTGTTTGTTGTGCATGGAAAGTCCAACCCAAAGCGTGTGCATGACTTGTCTGCCTTTGTTGTACCTTATTTATTTATTTATTTTCAATCAAACCTTCAGGTTTCTTGGGGCAGAGACCTTGTGTTCAGGCTTTTCTCTTGAGGGTCTTGGGATGCACTCTTGCAGTTGACAAAGGGGTGAGTTCTGGGAAGCCCCATTTCTGAGCCTGCTGACAACTGGGAATGGGTCTTTTGGTGGCCAGGACAAGGCAACCTGATCTGTTGTTGGAGCTGGCCCTGTGTTGGGGGAGTGGTTGGCCAGGTGAGTTGCTGAGGTCCCTTCCTTCCAACCTATATTACACTGTGACTCTTCCATACCTGCCTGCCATTATGATTTTCCCTGGCTGTTGTAAAAATGGAGAGGGCTTTGGTGCTGACAGCTCCTGCTGCTGTCCCTGGAGGAGTGCTGGGAAGATGATCCTGTGGGACAAGATGTGATGCTTGGAATTGTTCTGTGGGGTGTCAGGGGGACTAACTGCCTTTGCACACTGGATGGAGCTGACTGCTGGGAGGGGGTGGTGTGTGTGTGGGGGGGAATCGCAAATCTCTGACTGGGCAAAGCCTCCCTAGACACATCCTCATGTAAAGCAATTGCTTTTTACCATTAAAAATAGATCGGTGAATTCTCTGCTTGCCTGCTGAATGCTGATGCCTGTAATTCTTTGTCATCCTCGCAATCTCCTCTGCTTTGAGCTTGGCTGCCTCTTTGTCTGGCACCTGAGCAGGGTTCATTCAGCAGTAACAGATCCAGAGATAAGTGTGAGCTCTCGTGTAGTCTCCCAGGGCTGGAAGAAAGGTGAGGAGACCTGATCTCATGCCATTTAGCTGCTTGGCCTGCAACACTAAAGGAGCACGGCTTGGTGCGTTTGTGGATGCTTAATGGTCAACACCAGTGATGAGTTAGACCTCTTGTTATGGAAGCTGGCTAGAGGATGTGGAAGCTCTGTGTATGTCATGGTATATCACTCACATTTGGAACAGGCTGCCCAGGGAGGTGGTGGAGTCACCGTACTTGGAAGTGTTCAAGAAAAGGATAGATGTGGCACTGAGGGACAGATCAATGGGCATGGTGGGGATGGGCTGGTGGTTGGACTACATGATCTTAGTTGTCTTTTCCAGCCTGAGTGAGCCTATGATTCAGTGTATGGATAGAGGAAGAGCTGCCAAATGCTTTGATCCTCCCCCCCTCAAGTCACCTCAAGACTGACCTGATGAAACCACCTGGCAATGAATCATATTAGGGAGGAGAGAAGGAGAGAGTAGGGTAAATATGCTAGTGTGGGCTTTGCCTGTCTTATGTGCTTTTCCTAGATAAAGAAAATCCTTTGAAACTCATTGTTGGTGCTTTCTTATTGTAGCTGAGAAAAGAAGTAGAGCCCTGGCTGACATTCATCCCAAGTCTGTGTGCAATTTAGCTATTGTGTGCATGAAGGAAGGTTAACAAGCCTTGAACCAGGTTCAAAAAGCCTTGAAAAGTGCAAGAAAC